CCTGTGAATATATGATTGGTGTCACACTGAGCCACACAGCCCCTAGAAGGCAGTAACTGCACTCCCCTGTGCCTTCTACAACGCCCTCCCTTGTGCTCAAGGGCAGATATTTTACAGAGCAAAGTCTCTCAATCCTTGTCTAAGGAGATCAAAATACGATGAACTCTGGTTGCCAAGAGGAAGGGAGTGTGGGATCTGCTGGACCTCTGGTCAGTCATCTGGTAGAGATGGGAAACAGATGACTGACGCTTCATGCCAGCAGTGCTGACTGCTGGCCGAATGCAGTTTATCCAGGGTGAGAAAAGGGAAAGACACTGGGACCGTGAGAGATGAGCAATGCAGAAGGGTGATGCTGGTACTTCTGTGTTCACACTGGGCAGTCTCAAAGGAGAGTCTGAGTGACATGGAACAAGCTTGCAAAGAAACAGGGTTAGAGTGAAAGCAAGCCTGTTCAACTGCCAAGGCTTAGAGGCTGTCCCTGCCAACTGTGTCCATGCTCCTTCCTAGAGGAAACCACAGCCAGCAGCCTTCCCACCGGCCAGCCTACCAAACACTGCCCATCCCTCATGATCTTCCTGCCTCTGCCTCCTTCAGCAAATCCTACCAGCGTGCACCACCACAACTGGCTAGAGGTGTATTTCTCTAACAAGCCTGGAAAGTACCTGCAGTCACATTGGCTAAGAGCATGCCTGTAATTCAGTCTATATTTGAAGAATGTTTAATAGTGTGAAACTCACCACAGGATGTGAGAAAACCTTCCCTTCAGAACAGTGTCATTCCTGGGTGCTTTAAGTGTAGATAAATAAAAAAGCCTCCCCAATTATTTTTACACATAAATTAACAAAAATGTTACAAATTGTTTTGCACTTTATTTTGGCTTCTGCATGTACTTGGACATTTCCCTCCACTGCCTCCCCCCTTGGTCTATGTAACTCAGCCTGGACTCAAAAAGTATACAGCCAAGGCTGGTCTTGAACTTCCTTGCCTTCCTAAGTGTTGGGATTACAGGTGTGTAACACCATGCCCAGCTAAGATTGTTTTTATTGTCAGAACGGTGTCAGTATATGGATTACAACACAAATTGCTTGGGCAATTCTCCTTTGATGAACAGCCCATCCTTTTATTATTATAGGCAGGCATGCAGTGAGCACCCCTTGCCCCATTAATCTTCCCAGAGGGCAAACTCTTGGTTCATACATTTTGCAGAGAAATGAAATGGGCTGGGCTTCCCGTGTTCCAAATCAGGCAGGACTATGGGCAAGAATGCAAACCAGAAGGAAAGCCCAGCCCCATCACTGCCTCACTGTGTACATAAAACCCTGTTAGCTGATGCCACGTAGTTGTTGCGGGGAAGGATGTGATCACACATAGACACAAACTCATGTGCTTTCACACATAGACACCATCATCACAGCCTCTGTGGCTGCTAACATTTTTCTGCTTGATCTGAAGAAGCCACGACTTCTGGCCTTGAAGGCCTTGTTCTCCCAAGCTGTCACAGACGTGTCTCTGTCACTCATCTCACGAGGCCTGTGCTGTGCCGTACATTTTCTTTTCACTTTATGAATATGTTGTCAACTCAGTGAGACTGAGTTTCCGAAGGCCAAGGACTATTACTCACACAACCTTCATCTCCATCTCCTACCACACCATCTCACTCAGACGGTAAGAACCAGTCCTGCTGGCCATCCCTCAGCTCCCGGTGGGAACTGCCTGAGTGTCTCCTTTTCTGCCCCTTCAGATGTCCTACGGTTTGACAACACCTACAGCTTCATCCATGCCAAGAAGGTCGGTTTCACTGTGGAGGTCCTGCTTCCAGACAAAACAGCAGAGGAGAAGATGAACCAACAGGGGGCAGTCACCCCCAAATAACAGCTCCCCCTGCGCCAGGCCTGCTCTCCTCTGTCTTCCTGTCAGTTCCTTTGAAGTAGTCACACTCTCCTACAACCTAGTAGTCCAAAGAAACTGAGCTGGAGGGAAGACTTCAAACTGGACAGGAGACTCCGGTCCAGAATCCAAAGAGTTCAACTGGCTAGAGTGGGGCCTTGCCATCAGACCACTAAGGGGTCTCTAGAAATAATGTCTACCCCGAGACCTGCCAACTTCACCTGCCCAGCGACAGCTGGGACAGGGAGGGGTTGGGATACACAGGCTGGCAGCAGGGAAGAAATTAGAAAGAAGAAATTGAGATGTCACACTCAGGGAAGCCAGCTGCTGGGGGACACTTGCTCCTAAATGAACATGGAACAAACTTCCATGGTCGTAATGACGGTAGCGAGGGAGCAGGCTGCTAAGCACGTGAGGGGGATCCAGAGCTCTTCCAAACTTTTTGTAAAAGGCTTGAGTATCCCCCCCCCCAAGTCTCAGGGGTGGCCCAACTCAGCACTGGAAGGCAAACGGAGGGCCTCTCTATCCCCTTGAGAACCTCCAGTGGCTGCCTGTTTAATTACTAACAGTTGCCAGTGACCCAGAGTTTTGTGGGACTTTGGGACCTAGCCACTGTTGTCCAGTGAAAAAGGGAACTACCTTCCAAAAGCACAAGGGTAATTACCTTCCGGGACCACTGATCTGAAAGGGCCAAGGAGGCTGTGCGTGGGTCCTAGGCCTCTAGGCAAGCCTCCACTTGACCAACTCTACACTAAAATGAGAAGTAGGAGTTAGTGAGACAGCGCACAGAGGGCATTTCCCAGTCTAAGTCTCCCACAGTGCCTGAGAACCGGTCTCCTGACTGCCCTGAGAGAGGCCTTGGCAGGCCCTCCTCCGTGGAGGCGGGTAACGGCAGCAGTGGACTCCTCTTGCCTGTCAACGCGGGTAGTCAAGGAGGGAGGCTGCCCGGGAAGTTGGCCTTAGCCCTGGCAAGCGTCTGAGCCAGGGGCAAGGGGCGACCACAGGCGGCCTTGCAATAGCAGCTCTTGACCCTACACGACTTGGCGGCAAAGGCCAGGTTATGGAGCTCCGGAACGCGGCCCCAGGTCCTTCCAGGGACCCCCTTCCTCCTCGGAAAGAGACCCCGGCCCAGCCTGAGGACTTGTCTCACCAAGCGGAGGGAGCTCTGGGCAGGTGCAGGCAGGGCTAGCGGCCAGAGGGCCGAGGCTACCCAGGGTCTAGTCACGGATCTCAGGAGCATTTCCTGGCCTTGGTTTACAATGCTGTTAGGTACATTAACCGACGAATAAAGCAACTTTCAAAGCAAAGGGAGTAGAATTCACTGCCCATCGCCGGCTTCCTAGCGGCCTCTTGCAGTTCTCAAAAGCCAAGTAACGGACTCCTCTTAAAATAATGCACAGACACAGGCGTTCGGGTCCTCTCCTCTCGCGTGAACGTTCCCCGAAGTCCTGCTTTGTGATTGGTTCAGCCGGTGAATGTCGTCCGCCATCTTTGTTCATGGCATGAAGATGCTCCCGACAGCCTTCACGGTGAGGGCGGAGACTCCGCCCTATTCGGTGGGTCCAGACGTGCCGGGTGGATCGTCTGCAGCGACTCGAACGGGTGCGGGCGAGCGTGTGCTGCGTCTGCAACGGGTATAAAAGGGAGGGAGGCTGGGGACTAGCGTCACGTGGTTTTAGGGACCGTCTCCTAATTCCACTCCAGCACTACCGGTGTGTCTGGGCCTGCAGACAGATCTACCTTCTGCACCCAGGCCCCACTGACCCTCAAGAGCCTATGAGGACACGGCTGAAAAACGGTGTCCTCCATAGGAAGTCAGCTTTCGGGTCTTTAGTCACTGGTTAAAAAAAAAAAAAAAAAAGCTAAAAGAGCTGTACAGAAACCTTGTTCTTAACCACCTGGAATTGTTGTAAAGATTTTTTTTCCCATGTGCCATGTAACCCCGGCCAGGCCTGAACTCCCTATGTAGACAGTTTGGCTTTGAACTCACGTAATGCCGCCTGTTTTCTGCCTCCTAAATTTTGGGATGAAAAGTATTTACTACCATGCCTGATTTTTGAAAAGATTTAAGACAAATTTTATTGGTACGTACGTGCTTGTGTGGGTCTCTGTGTGAGAGTGTACCACGTGTGTGTGGATGCCTTTGGATGTCAGATCCCCTGAAGCTGGAGTTGCAGGTGGCTGTGAGACACCTGTGTAGGCGTTGGGAGCCATGGGCCCTCTGGAAGAGGTGTAAGCGCTGCTAGCCACCGAGAAATCTCTCCACCGTCTATTTTCTCTTACTGACACGGGCGCTGGGATTTGGAGAGGAGGTGGCTAACATCTACAAGGTGACACAAGTAACATACACCATTGCTGTTCTGATATCCCAGAGTGCTTTTCCCCAACTCCCTTCTTTTTATTCTGCTCATTCTTCTGGAGTTTGGTATGCCAAACCTTGATTCCTCATTAAATTGTTCATTCATTTGATGTCTGGTCCCCAGAAAGATCCAGTTAGCTCAGACCGTATCAAAGATCAACATGAAGGGACAGAGGGTCTGGGCCTCCTCCTCTCTAGAGCATTCGCCATCTACTCAACTCACACTGCCTCGTTTACCGAATCAGAGCCTGGGATCTGAAATCACCTAGCCTAGATTCAAATCTAAGTTTCTTCGCCTAACAATTGTGCGAGTCAGGAGAGTGACCTTCCTCTCTATTTGCCCCCTGTAAAATAGGTTCCTATGCTAGTGCAAGTGCTTAAGAAAGCAAACCTGAGTGGATTGAATGCGTGATGACATTTATAATTGGTCCTTGTGTTTAAGGTAGTGAATGCTGGCTTGCCTCCCATTTGCACATGAACTCAGGCTCAGGGAAATACAGCTTTGCTACAAGTCACACACCTAAGAAGATACCATCCTCTGATTGAAACCCTGACCTGTTTAGCTCCAAAAACTAATTATGCCTGGGAGAGTTTTGCATTAACTGGTCGGAGAAAACACAACTATCTATCTGCAAAATCCAAGCCTAGGAGAGGGGCTTGGGTGTACAAGGCAATTTTCAGACACTCCCTGCAGTGGCAATAGACAGACCTGTCCTTCAGCCTCGGACTTCTGGCGGGTCCTTGCCTAGTGTGGGCAGAGAGCTAGTGGGGACGGAAGTGGTCGCGAGGCTCTAACTTGCAGTGACTCGGACCGAGCTGAGGAAGTCATGTCGGAGCAGCAGCGGCAGGGCGCCGAGCGCGACCTCTACCGGGACACGTGGGTGCGCTACCTGGGTGAGCGCGGGAGTGAGATCCACCGCGACCCCACCACTCTGGAAAAGAGGTTGTGGGATGCGGATCTGGAATCTAAAGGAAAGGGTTTAGTTATTATTGGGCTTGGGCAGGAGACTGTGCTCAGGAGAATGCTAGCGACTTGTCCAAGGTCACACAGCACTGTTCGTGGGGGAGGCACAAGCCGAGTGGGTGGGTTGCCATCTGCCATGACCGTGCACTAGCCATGGAGTTAGAGGATCTAGATTCCTACCGCCTGCCATTACTTGGCTCTTTCTGAGCCTCAGTTTCCTCTTCTGCAAAAAGGGCTGAACACGAGGCACTCTTGAGGGGAGATTTAAGGGCGGACAGAGGTAAGGCTCTGAAAGGCTTTGATACTTATTAAGTATCAGTGGAGTCCACGCTCAGTCATTCGATTCGCTGACCACTCGGTTGCCTCATTGGTGTAGATCCCCAGAACCACAGCTGGGGACTCTGATCAGTGAGCCATGAACTTCATTGTTGGCGTCAGTCCACAGCTCAGAAATCAGAGGTAAAGTCACTTAACTGAGGTCACCTGCCCAACTGTAGTTTAGCAGTCTAGGATTAGAAGCGCCCCCTTGTGGAACAGCCCGCGGGCCAGGTAATTAAAAGTCTTTCCGCTACAGGCTATGCTAATGAAGTGGGGGAGGCTTTCCGCTCCCTCGTGCCTGCAGCTGTGGTGTGGCTGAGCTATGGTGTGTCTAGCTCTTACGTGCTGGCTGATGCCGTAGACAAAGGCAAGAAGGCAGGAGAGGTGAGTGTTAATTTACCCTTCCAACCCCATCCTGGTATGGATCAGTGTGCAAGCTTTCGTGTGGGACAGTACTATCCGCATTAGCATTGTGAAGTCTGTAAGCTAATCCTGTTTGTAGGATAGTTCACCCCCTGACTGACCAACCCTGAATGTAGCCCAGCCCAGAGTCCAACCCCCTGCTGCACCTCTCTCCCTCTCCCTCCTCCCTGGTCCACCCTCATGCTACAGGTTTCTTGCTTCTGCTCCAGCTCAGTTAAATGCCTTTGTACCTGCCAGGTGCCAAGCCCTGAAGCAGGCCGCAGCACCAGAGTGGCCCTGGCTGTGGTAGACACCTTTGTGTGGCAGTCTCTGGCCTCCGTTGCCATCCCAGGCTTCACTATCAACCGCCTGTGTGCTGCCTCCCTCTATGTCCTGGGTACCATGACCCGCTGGCCCCTGACTGCCCGCAAATGGACCACCACCACACTTGGGCTGCTGGCCATCCCCGTCATCGTCCACCCCATTGACAGGTAGGTGCCCTTCTGGCCTGAGGGACCAGGGCAGGTAGCGTTGGGCACAGGGCCACAGCAGCAGAGGCAAGGCTGAAGTAGAGAGAGCATCTGTACCCTAGTCACATGATGTGGCAGAAGTAGAGGGCCTTGAGGTACTGGACAAAGGACAAGTGTTTTCAGAAGGAAAGACTGGTGTCAGATAGCCAGAGATAGTCAGAAGCAGGTGTCCAGAATGGCGAGCTGGAGGGATGTGATAGTGACACAGTCACGCTCGGTTTGGGAGGGATGTGTTCAGGGAGGGCTGAATCCAGGCTTTGGAGTGATGCTTCTCTCCTTCAGCTTCTCTCCTTGTTGGTCTCATGCATTCTCCTGCCATGTCCCTCAGTGACTCACAGCATCCCTCCTGACAACTTAAACCCCATTAAAACTTCTCCATCGTGATAGCAAAAGTCCCAAGGAAGATTTTCATTGGTTTATTCAGACAGGGTACCCATGTCTGAGCCATTGTCCTCACTGATTAGTCAACCCTGGCCCATGTGCTTGCTCTTAGAACTAAGAGGTAGGACTGGGCTGGAGAGATGGCTCAGCAGTTAAGAGTGCTGGCTGCTCTTCCAGAGGTCCTGAGTTCAATTCTCAGCACCCAGGGTTGATCACAACCATCTATAATAGGATCTGATGCCCTCTTCTGGCAGGTATATATGAAAATAGAATACTTACATGCATTAAAAAAAATACAGAAATACATTTTTAAAAATCTTAAAAAGAAGCCGGGCATTGGTGGCACATGCCTTTATTCCCAGCACTTGGGAGGTAGAGGCAGACAGATCTCTGTGAGTTCCAAGTCCAGCCTGGTCTACAGAGCTAGTTCCAGGACAGGCTCCAAAGCAATACAAAGAAACCCTGTCTCAAAACAACAACAACAAAAACCCCAAAACAAACAAACAAAAACCAAAAATATCTTAGAAAGAAAAAGAACTAGAGGTAAGTATTAATCAAAATAGACCAATGTGCAGTATGAGGAGGGGTCTTGGGGGTGCATATCTGAGCCTAAGTCTCACTGTGAGTGTTTTATCCACTGTGCCTCAGTTTACCCAATTGTAGAAAGAAAAGGAAGATGGTTGTTATTCTCAGAGGTTAAGTTTGATTTTCCTAAGTAGCCTAAGTGTTCTCACTTAGAATGATAAAATGGGTTCTAACCTGGTTGCTGTTGGTACCCTGTATCTAGGAGTCTTTCCCTGTAGTCTAATGTTTCCCTCATCCTTGGCTACCTGCTCACCATGCCTTCTCTCCCTGTAGGTCAGTAGACTTCCTCCTGGATTCCAGCCTGCGTAAACTGTACCCATCAGTGGGGAAGCCCAGCTCCTCCTGACCCTGTACTGACCCTGCCCATGGCTGGCCCGCTCACATCAGAGAATGTAGATGCTTGGCTGTTTGGGGTCCATGACACTGGCATCCGTGTGGGTTCAAACTGATGGGCTCTTAGAGACGGCCTTGAGGAGTGTTGTCCTCAGTGAGTCCCAGAGGTGGGGCCGACCCTGTCTGCATTAGTAGCAGTGGTTGTCCTGAGTGGGAGTGGACTGGCTGGTCATGTTTTCTGAAAATTTTTTGAAGTATTTTATTTTATGTGTATAAGTGTTTTGCCTGCATGTATGTATGTTTGTGCACCACCCTTGGAGGTTTAAAGAGGTCATTGGAACCCCTGAAACTGGAATTAGGGATGGTTGTGAGCCACCATGTGGGTGCTGAAGACTGAGCTGAACCTGGTTTCTCTGCAAGAGCAGCCAGAATTCCTAACCACTGACATACCTCTTAGCCTCTGGGCCTATCTTCTGATGGAAAAGTTGTATCTTCCCATGGAGGAGGACACTGAAGCCCAGAGAGGGCAAGGGGTATGCCTAAGGTCAAGTGGCAAGCCAAGGACCAGGCTGTTCAGCTGCTCTAAGTCGCCTTGTGGTAATGTGGCTGAGTGACTTAGGGCAGAGCACAGAGGTGTAACATTTGGGACACTCAGGACAGAGCCTCTGGCCAGCCCATCCCTGCTGCAGGAGCAGCTGGGGCCTGGTTGGGAGGCAGGACAATCAAGTGCTAGCCCAATAAACCCTTAAAAAATGGTATCTTCTTTCCGTCATTGGGGAGAGCAGGGTTGCAACCACGGCAGCGGCCCTTCTGGAGCAGGTAAACTGAGGGAGAAGTGGGCGGCTTTCCTGGCTCTACAGGAAGAGGTGTGGGGAGAATAAGGGAAGGAGGGGACAAGGTGGGGGGGGAGGGAGGGAGGGTCTGAAATGAAGGTTTAGATGGGGAGAAATGGGAGGGAGCTTTGCGTTGAAAGGTGGTGTGGTATTGTCCAGTTGATCTGGGCCAGGGTGTCAGGAGTGTATTCTAGACCTTGTAAGAAGGGATTGGAAACTCTTGGAGAAGATGTGGAGGAAGAGGAAACCTTACTGGCTGCTAGTGAAATACAAAATAAAAAATAGCATGGCTGTGTGACCCTGCCATGCCACTCCTGGGCTTCTGCCCAAAGAACTCTGTGTACTGAGACGCCTGCACATCCATGTTCATTGCTGCTGTATTCACAATAGCGAGGGAATAGAACCAGTCCACCAACAGATGAATGGGTAATAAAAATGTAACACACAATGGACTTTTATTTAGCTATAACAATGAAATGAAACTTTAAGGAAAATGGACAGAAGAGCATGTCTCAGTCTTACTTGTGACTGTTTATGCTGTGTGGCCTCTGCTAGGTCACTTGCCTTCTCTGAACTGTGGAATTTAGATCTGGAAAGGAGAGTCATGTCGTTGTCTACCCTTCTCCTGGGTTAGGAGGAGGCCAGAGCAGTATGTTGTTGGTCAGTCTGCTGCTTTAGGATAGAAAGCCTCTATTGTTCATTTCCATGGTGAAAATGCACCCATTATGCCCTCTTTAAAGCCCCCCTGCCCCCCAGTGAAGGCCTTGAACACAGCTGGGAACAGTGTCACACTTCATAGGTGACTGCCAGAACACTTCCTTTGGAGGGTGCCTCAAACCGCAGATGCCATCCGCCCCTCTGTACTGAATCTTACCTGGCACTTGCATGTCTGCGATCAAGTTTAATTTATAAATTAGGAACAAGGATTAACTATAATAGCTACGCCCTGAAAGTCACCCTCTGGTGGGGGAGGTGCACTAGGCAACGTACTCACCCAGTGATAAACCAAAGTTTGTTTCCACCAGAAGGTCCCTCTGGGGAACCAATGAGCTCATTACTTACAGAGTATGGGTGACCCTAAAGCTGCCATACAGGAAGACCCTCACCCAGCATGGATGATGGCTTCCCCATGGCTGTGTAGATGAAGCCCCCTCCCTTGCCCTGCCCAGCCTAGATACTTCCCTTCCCTGAGGACTTCTGCACTTAGACAGACTTCAAATACTTGGCCGAGAGGAGTAGCTGGACACTGCCTTATGAAAAAACCCAAATGTCAACAAAGCCCAGCTGTGATGACCTTTTGTAAGCAGCCACTGAAGAACTCATGAGGCTAGTGGCAGTTTGGCTCTCAGGAGAGCCTGTACAACAAACTACAGTGACAATAAGAAGCTAGAACAATTGTAACCATATACTATAGTAAGAGTTATTCCAAACCTTTAAACTGATAGTTTCTAGAATTTTCCGCTTATTATGTAGACTGCAACTGACTGCAGGTAACTGCTGCCTGGAAAGGAAAACAGGAGGTTGATGACTGTAGGTGTAAATAATCTTGACAGGCGGAGGAGATGGCTCAGTGGGTAAAAGCACTGGGGATCTTGGAGGCACTGCAGATTGTCCTAAGAGCCTAAGGCCCTGGAAGCTTGGCCTGAAGGGACTGTGGGAGAAAGGAGTATGTAATAATGTATAATAAAGCCAAGGGTAATGGCTTCACACTCCGAAGTAATAAGGGGAAATGAAAGGACAAGTTGAGAAAGGGTTATAAGTAGAGACCTCTAGCCAGGCATGGTGGTGCCTTCCTTTGACTCAGTACTTGGAAGGCAGAGATAGGTTGATCCTTGAGCTCAAAGCCAACCTGGTCTACACAGAGTCCTGCCTAGCCAGAGCCCATAGTGAGATCGTGTCTCAAACAAAACAATGGCACCCAAGTTTGGTAGAGAAGGATGAACCACAGGTATGGCATGGCTGGGCTTGAGGGTTGTCCAACGTTTCAGACGCACTTTGGTCAGCTCTTGGCTGGTCTGCCTAGGCCCACGCGCTCTCACTGACTCCCGTCACTGGGATTGATAGCAGTCACCTCCCCCACTTGCAGCCTGAGGAACTCTGATCTTCAGTGACTTCCAGAAGCCTCTAAATGCAGCTGTTGCTGAGGCAGGTCTGTACTTCTTTGGCCTCTGAGAACATGGCTTTCTAGTACTTCAATGGTCTGGAAAAGACCACAGGGAACCTGCTCCTGCGTCAAGGAGTAGCTGCTGTTTTTGTATTCAGTGTGGTCAGTAATAACGAGATGATGGGAAATCTGTGGATATGCACGCATGTAGGTTGCATGATTGTGTCATACCTTGATTGGTTACTTCTGCATTGCTGTGACCATAACACCAGATGGAAACAACAGAAGAAAGGGAAGGTTTATTTGGCTTGTGTTTCAGAGGGTTTTAGGTTATGGCAGGGGAGGCTGTGGGAATGTGAAAGCCTGCTCACACTACAGCAGATCAAAAAAGCAAGAGGATGTGGGGCAGGAAGCAGGGCTTAGGCATAACTTTCAAAGGCTGGTCCCAGGCAGGCCCTGCCTCCTAAAGGTAGCAGTAGAGGACTGGGGAACAAGCATTCAAACATGAGCCTGTGGGGGACACTTCAGATTCAAACCATCACAATGCCACGTTACATAAGGGACTTGAGTGTCCTCTGATTTTAATAACAGCAATGGCGTTGTTCTGAAGCCAATCCTCTGTGGCTACTAAGAGATGGCTCTACTGGGTTTCAACCTATGTGACCTACAGTCTCAATTTCTTTATCTATGAAGTGTATCTGCTCGTGGCTGCTGCAGAAGACTTTAGGAAAGGATTATTAGGAGATTTAAACAGAACAATAGATGCTCCAGGCAGGCAGCAAAAACGAGCATTTCCTAACGGAATAGTGGGCAGCACTTGGTTACTCTCCTCGAGTGTAAGGAGGCACAAAGCCTTACATGTCTTCCAGACTCTTGGACTTAGAAACTTAGCCAGGCATGGTGGCTCAAGCCTTTAATTCCAGCACACAGGAGGCAGAGGCAGATGGATCTCTGATTTCGAGACCAGCCTGGTCTACAGAGAAAAAAGAAGGAGAAAATAAATTTAAAACTTATAGTTAGCTAGCCTTAGCTTCCAGCGCCCCTCTCCTGCCTTACCAGCAGACATGGGACCCCAGGTCGCTTCCCTACAATGAGGTTGCCTCCCTGGCAGAACTAGGCTGTGAGGAGCCAGGCCAGGGTCTCTCTCAGTGGCACCTGAATTGTAGCTTCAGGCAGAGCCAAGGGGAGGGATAAGGTCTGCCTCAGACCATCATTCCCATCTCAGCTCTTTTGAGATGTGTGCTGCCAGAGATGGGCTGGGGAGCCACCTAAGAGTCCAGAAGACGCCGTGTGCCAAACAAGCGCTTCTCTTATCCCAGGATTTGCTTGGTTTGGTGACCACTCTTTCTCTCCAAGACTTTATTTATTTATTTGTGAGATGGTGTTTCTCTGTGTAGCCTTGGCTGTCCTGGAATGTGCTCTGTAGACCAGGCTGGCCTCTAACTCTCAGATATCCACCTGCCTCTGCCTCCCAAGTGCTGGTATTAAAGGTTTGCACCACCACTCCCCATCTCTCTCTGCAAGACTCTTAAGTTCTTCTCATGGCAGGACCTTTATTTGATTCAGGAGAGTCCATTGGGCTCTTTGAGGCTCACATGGATTATGCCCAAAGGAGTTGGTACAGCAGGAAGAGGGTGAAGTCCACCCCAAAGGAAGCTAGCAGGGCCTATGGTGGATCCCAGGCATCTTCAGGGGAGAGTGATGGCAGGAGGCTATGGTGAGTGGGTATGGCAGTCAGCCCCCAGGCCTTATGGCTTTTGTCCTAGAACATCCCAGCAGTTTGGTTCCCAGGCAAGCCCTGGCTGGTTTTAGGGAACACTCAAAATCTCCACCAGGGGGCAGCATGCCTCAACATGCCCTTGTTGGCAAGTCAAACTGGGTCATCCCTTAGTGAAATGTTCCTAGTGGCTCCAGAGACCCAGCACTTCACGTGGCAAGGCTTTTGTAGGGTTTTGCCATGTAGTCCAGGATGGCCTGGGACTTATTTTGTAGCCCAGACTGGCTTCAGACTTGCTATCTTCCTGTCTCAGCCACAATGTATTCTTTGGGTGACCTTATTTCTTCTTTCTTCCACCCTCCTCGATTCTTTTTATCCTTCTCACTTCTTTTTAAAAATCCTTGTCTGAGCACATAGGTGCAGTGCTAATAGAGGCCAGAAGAGGGCGATGGATCCCCTGGAGCTGAAGTAATAGGTGTTTGTGGTCTGGGAGCCAAGCTCTGGTTTTCTGGGAAATCAGGAAGTGCTCTCAAGCTCTGAGCTATCTATCTCTCCAGCCCCCTTCACACTTCTTTCCCTCGTTCTTTTATTATAGGCTTGCTAGGTAAAATACAGGATGCTGTACAGAGAGGGAAGTTTGAAAAGGCTATATGAAGAAGAGGAAAAGCTATATGAAAACTACTGTTTTACAAACTTGATAAAAATACATTTAAAGTTTCATTAACAGTACCTTACACAGAATGTTCCTCTCTGAAGCCATAGATAATTAAACAAAAAGCCAATACCAGATGTGGGACACCTTTTGTCATGGTGTTGATGTGGGGTCCACAGACACCCCCCCCACACACACACAAACAATAAGGCTATTGCCATCCCTCTTGGTTACCCAGGAATAGGTAAGACATCACCACTTTGATCATTGGACATGGAGAAAGCAAGCTGGTAATGACCTGCAAACATCCTCCCTGATGGCTGGATGTCATAGAGCCAGGAGGTGCTGTGCCATTTGCTGGGGGAGAAAAGTCATGAAGAATCTCATCCAGATGTGAACCCTGTAAGCTACAATAATGACCAGCTTGGAAAGATATGCCCACTGGTACAATAATGGCATGGATCTTATTGGAGTAGTGAACAGCATTGGAATCAAGGTATATTCTGCAGGAGGAAACTCATATCTGATACGATAAGCCTGACCAAGAATTTGTGGCTGGAGAGGTCATAGAACCTACTGCTATTATTTTGCTAACAGAATATAGTATCACAATACTTTTTAAAGCCTTAACTTTTAGCATGTGCAACTCTCACCTGCATCAGAGAAACTCTCCACAGCACATGGTGGTTAATACAGATCAAATGCAGAGAGTAAGTGACTTGGGTACTCAAGCCCTGAATGGGACATTTATGTCCCTCCCTATGCTGCAAGGCACAGAAAGTTTTTAAGAGCCACAGGCTGGGGATGTCTTTTGGGTATGATAAGGCTAACACACTCAAGCTCACAGTAGCTGTGGTTGCCAGCGCACCATCAAACCAGACAGTACTCCAGTATGTAAAGGGAAGAGGCCCCCGAGGCCCGCCACTGAGCTCAAGAGCTACTGGTAGTTGGTGGCCCCGGGAAGAATTTATCTTCTTTGACAGTGTGACCATGGCAGTTGCTTGTGCTACAGTGGCTGGAGCCCCATATCCATGAGCGTTGGGTATATGGGTGGCATTGATTTGACCCAGTGGTTAGAAAAACAAAAGAAGGCATGAAGTTGAGAAGACATGTATGTGATGTGCAGGATTCTGGGAGGAGTTGGAATGGGAGAAGGAGGAGGAATAAGATCTAAACCTATTGTATTTATGTGTGAAATTATCAAGGAACAAGTAAATATTTTTGAAAAGATTGGGATGTTCAGTTAGACTTTAATGTTAGATAGTGAATACATTTAAGTACCATCCAATCCCACCCTTTTGTTCTTTCAAAGTCTGACAACTTTCTCTTCCTTACTTTTCCTGCACTCTTTTGTGATTCCAGTTACTGTCCCCTCCCCTGCCTACTCAGGAAGGAGGAGACAATCTTAGCCTGTTTGGAAAATAACTCAGGAACCTGGAGGTTATAAAGCACAGTGGGTACCTTGGCTCTGATCCAATTCTACCATCCACACCCTGAAGAAAATGGGTCCAGTACTGCTGGAAGCTCAGTTCCTGGTATTATGTCAACATGACATCATCTCAGAGGAGGGAACCTCGATTGAGGCTGTATGGCATTTTCTCAATTTGTGATCAATAGGGGAAGGCCTAGACCACTTGTGGGTGGTTCTATTCCTGGGCTGGCGGTGCTGGGTTCTGTAAGAAAGCAGGCTGAGCAAGCCATGGGAAACAAGCCAGTAAGCAGCACCCATCTATGGCCTCTGCATCAGCTCCTGCCTCCAGGTTCCCGCCCTCATTGCTTTTGATGATGAACTGTTATGTTGCCTTTGGTAATGGTGTTTCATCAGAGCAATAGAAATCCTAAGACAGTTCCCATCTATAAGATGGGCATAAGAGTCTGTGCCCTCAAGTGTGCGCATGACTCTGCTCCCCTCCACAGAATAACATAGCTTGGTGAGAGTCAGGCTTCACACTTGGCTTTTAGCTCATTCCCAAGGTGCAGCGCATGGCATCAGCCAGCCCCTTGGGTTCTGCCCTGTTCTCATTCTCTAGACTAATCATCTCTTGGCAAGAGTTGTGTCAGGAGCCAGGGACTCAAGCCAGTGTCTGTGTACCATGCACGGGGCAGGAAGTTGAGAAAGAAACTGGAAGCCTGGTCCCAGTTCCTCATAGGTGTGGTGAGCATCAGGTGGTCATCCCTACAGACACAGCATGAGCAGAGGGCAGAACACCAGGCACAGGCATACAAGCCCCTTCCAGCCCTCTATGAGGCTCCTCGAACAACCTGCTTAAGCACTGGGGCTCTTAATTCCTCCGGCTGTCCAAGCAGGGAGAGGTGGGATACCCAGTACACTCTTCTGAAGGATGCGGACAGTCAAAGCATTCCTTACCTCCTTGGCAAAGCAGGGTCTTTTGAGGGGGTACCATGGGGCAATAAAGCAATGCTTTCTGACTAAATAAAAAACAAAAAACTCAGCTCCTAGAGCTGTCACTTAAAGCTCTATGACATCAGTGGCTAATTTAGCCCCTCTGAGCCCAGTTGCTTCATTCATAAAGTGGCTTAATAAGGTGTATTGGGGTGGTGTGAAGATGGCATGAGCCAAACTTGTAAAGTACTTGGAACAGTGACAATCCTCTCCAAACAACAGCTGTTGTTATTGTTTTGCCCAGCGGCAGGCAGAGTAGCATGTGACTGCTTTTGCAGTGGGGAAAGTTATTTTGATTGATTGAAATGTGAGTTGTGAGCTCAGAAAGAAGGAGATGTTTTGGGGATAATGGGTGGGAACCATGCCCCTGGCTACCCACCTCCCGCAAGGGGCATGGGGCGTCTGTGTCTGAAACTCCCAAAGGAAACCACTGTCAGGTTGCATGGCCTGGGTCTTGGCCAAGTGTGTCTCTGTCCGGGGTGCTGAAATATACTGACTGCTCTCTTCCTTATGACTCCTGGGAACCACGTGCTCCCTTCCTTCTGGCCCTCTGCTTAACTTACAGGAATACACTAATCGTCTACTATGTAGTGAGTGGAAGGAAAAAGGATTCAGATAATCTTCATCTTAAGTTTTACACAGAAAGGGAGTCGAGCACAAATGTCTTAGGATACATAAGGTCAACTAGTCATTTCCCTATTCTTGGACCTCAGTGGCACCCATCTCTCGTTTTCCTTCTTGCTTCTTTCTCTTTTGCAACCTTTATATCCTCCAACACCTTTCATGCTTTTAAAATTCGATCACAGCAGATATGTCTTCCCCAGTCTCCCTTTCTCTGCTCACTGGTGCCACATTGTCAGTTGGTCTAATGATCATTTTTAGGAATGAAAGGGGCAGTAGAGAGAAAACAGAAAGAGGTTCTGGGTCTCTGGGAAGAGGGGGATCCGCCTAGACAGGGGTGAGCTCCTCATCGTATTTCTGCATGCCCTCGTCTGGGAGAAGCACTTCAACCGTGAAGCTGACCTTCTTGGCATGGACGAAGCTATAGGTGTTGTCAAAGCGCAGGACATCTAGGAGACAAATGGAAGATTAGTTCTCACTGGCTGTGCTTGCCAAACTGGTGCAACTTCCCACTGTGCCTTTTACCTCCCTGTGGGATCTGTCACCCTGAGCAGAGCATGTAAACTGACACTACCTTGTCCTGGCGTCCTGGCGTCCTCCCAAACCTGGCTTTAGTTGCATCATCAAGTTGCATCATCGGACAGTGAGAACAATGGGTGTTAATTACAGCCCACTGTCTTCACATCTGCTTGCTCTCATGATGAGACATAAGTTGAGAGCAACAGAGGCTTCCTAGCTCCCCTGAACAAAGTGGGGGCTAGGCAAAGCGTGAAGTAATTGTCTTAATCCTCAAACCATGGGGGACCCAACAAACACTCCTTCCCAGGTTGAGCAGTATTTTGCACTTGTGCAGCTACACTGAGGCTGATATGGAGCTGAGATACCATGGCATTCAGCTGTGAGGCTGTGCCTAAGTTGGCTTACTTCTCCCAGCCCCCTGGGGCGGGGGTGGGAGGTGGGGGACTCTGGTCTATTGTCCTTTGCTTGTGTCCTGTGGCCTAAGCACTCTCAGTCCACGGGGCTCATGTGTCTCTGACCCTTGGTGCACCCTAGGTGTTCATGAGTATGACTTGAGAATGAATGAAGGCTCTAACCTGGACTGTATGTCCTGGTATGTGTCTGGGGAAAGGGGCCACTGCCCGTGTTCATCCTTTAAGTCATGGGAAAGGTGGCTCCCATCTTCGGAGCCCATGCACAGCTAGGGTGGACTTACAGACACCAGCCTCTGAGCAGGTGAGGCTCCCGTCCTCAGGCACCATGTGGGCATTGTAGCGCTGGCTGGCCAGCACCTCAGTCATCTCCCCGGCCTTCTGCCTCTCCCCCATCTTGGTCTTGAGGAAGACTCCAAAGCCAATGTCTGCACCATCAGAGAAGAACTGCCACCTGTGAGAGATCAAGTTGATCAGTGTGATGGGTCCCTGAGGGTGAGAGCCCAGCGGCGGTGGGGGAGAGGCGTGATGGTCTGTCCCCCTTACCTGAGAACACAGCCTGGAAACAGGATCTCATATTCCACCTGGTGTGAGGAGCCACGGCTAATCTGCACTGAGTGCTCGTACTGAGTCTTCACCTGGTCCCTCACGTACATGGACTTGGGGATCTCCCCGCCATAGTTGATCTATAATAGATTCTAGGGTCACTTTCATCATCACCGGGAAGATTTCTGCTCCCCTTCCCCAAACCCTTTCCTGGCTCTCTAGGCTGAACCAGCACTTCCTTTGGAAGCTTCTTCTTCCAGTTTATTTCCAAATCAAAACTTCATTTCATCTTTCCCTGCATATCTTCTCAGGAGCTCCTAATAAGTTGGGCCCACTCTGCTTAATGCCTGGGATCTATATCCAGGGGTCTATCTGGAGATGTTTGTGGAATGGATAGGCGATGGAAAAGGAAGTCATCTCTACTCCTCCAACCCCTTCCTGTCCTCAGGCTCTGTGTACCTTGGTCAAACATTTGGGGTTCCCATCTGGGTCAGTCAGAGTTCCCCCAAAATGAGCAGGCAGTTCCTCAGGACTGATGAGTTTCAGCAAACCTTCCTTCCAGCTCTCTGGGAGTAGGGAGGTCGAATGATTGTTATCACACGTGGAAGGGACCAAACACCCCCTCCCTTCCAGGATACCCTGAAGTTGTGTCTCCAAGCTCTGTGGGGGTTAGGCTGCCAGGAATAGCTTTCAAGTCTGCTAGATGTGGGCTATAGGAAATGGTTTTTCCTAGCATCCAGTTGCTACGGAAACATGTTGACCCTCGGCTGATGGGCTAGGACATTCTGGAAGGTCCCCCAGTCATGAGTAGCTCATAGTTGTTTCATTGTTTTAAGGAGACTTTAAAGCCCTGTGGGTCAGGACCTTGTTGAGATTATTCAGTAAGTCAGATCTTGTGGCAGGAGCAGATCTGTCTAGAGAGACCTGCCTCTTTCATCACCACCACCATCAGATAAAAGGCCATTACTGTTATTCATATATGAACCTCTAGGGATCCTGGGGATTGCTGTGGTCCTAGTCCTGTGGCTAACCTAAGTTGACCCTTATGACTCTGGCATATTCCTACTCTCCAGTGGGAAATGGGAAATATCACAATGCCTGGAATGCTGGGGCCAAATGTACTGAGCCTTGTGGGGCACCAAGGGCATAGAGTTGGGTTCATATTGAGCCAGCATTTGGCATCTCCTCATAACCACTATCTTGTCATCTATTATAGTGAAACTGGGTAGAGGTAGGAGCTGGGGTACTGGGAAAAAAGAGAAATCCAGGAACATAAGACTCCCACCCTATTTCTAGATCCTCAGTTCACATAGTTAGATAGTCTGAATATCTGCTTGGGAGGCTCACTGGTTTGTGCTTGAGAATCCGTTCTCTTCATTTTATCCTATCTGTCTGTCTGTCTATCTATCTATATATCTATCTATCTATCCATCCATCTACCTACCTACCTATCTGTGTATCATCTACTTATTTTACTGTGCCATGGATGGACCTCAGGGTCTCCCATGTGCTGGGCAAATGCTTGGTGACTGAGTTACAGCCACCACCCACTTCTGCCACTTGTAAAAGCAACTCTTGTCAGGGCAATGACATACAATGGTAGTCTCAGCACTCAGGAGACTGAGGCAGGAGGATGGTGAGTTTGAGGCCACTCTGTCTCAGAAAACAAAACAAAACAAAATAAATAAAAATAAGTTGTTTTTCTTGTAGTAGCATGCAAAATTGAGGAAACAGGAACATACCAACAATACCTTTAAAACCATGATCTATTCTGTTTGTACTTCCTTCTACAAAAATCTGTTTGGTATTTGTTTGTTTATGAGTTTTAAAATTACTTTTACTTATTTTGTGTGTGGGAAGAAGGCGCCTGTGACTGCAGGTACCTGCCGAGTGCTGGAAGGGATGAAGGAGCAGCATCCTCTAAAGCTTGTAAGGCACAGGGACAGGGCCCCTGGAACAACTTACTTCCCAGCACCACAATTTTCCTCCGTGTGTCCTCACTCAGGAATGGCTTCATGAGATTGTAGCCCACAGGGAACAGTTTTGTGGCTGGAAAGACACAGGAAGAATAATGGAGAAACCAAGCCACGGGGCCACATTTCCACAATGGACACAGCCTACTACAGAATCATGATGGACCTGGCCAGCACAGACCCTGACCCATACACCCAAGAAATAGCCAACTAACTGTCCGACCATAAGCTGCCTACCCACCCTGCAAATTAGTCAGACACCAGCCTCATTAGTCAGCCAATAAGCTCACTGGTCTTCCAAACTGACCAGCCTGCTAACAAATAATCTACCAATTCACTAACTCACTGAAGTCAAACTCACCAAGTCAGTCAAACATAAAATCAATTGGCCCACTGACCAACCAGCCAGCCAGCCAATTAACTGCTCTCTTCAGCTACCAACCATTCCTACAAAGAGCAGGCAATCCAAATAACCAGCTGACCATGCAAATTCAGCTGAAGAACAAACCAGCCAGCCAGCCAACCAATATGCCGGGCAATCACCTATAGTGGCATCTTGTTCCAACAGTGGACTTGGGGTGGTGGCCACACCTTAGGGCATGGCTTCAGGTGTGTGGACCTGACCCCTTATGAGGAAGAGGAGGGGCTGGCTCTTGCTCCCTTGGGTTGTGGTCGGAAGATCCTGAAGAGCAGAGGCTGCATCTCCAGGAACAGAAAGGCCACAGCAGTTATTTACCATCATTGTGTGAGTGCTCCCCAAATATTTAGACAAGAAGAGGAAAGGTAGTGGCATATTATTTTGCCAGTAGACTTGGGGTGGTGGCCACACCTGAAGCCACACCCTAAGGTGTGGCCACTACAACCACCCAAACATCCAGTCACCAAAATGCTAACCAGACATTCAATCAACCAAGCTCAAAGCCAATCAGTCAGGCAGGCAGCCCAGTTAACTCTCCAACACATCACTAGTTACTTGGCTAGTCAGACAACCAACCAACTAACCAATCAACTGGACAGCTAGCCACGCAATGAGTGAACCAACTACCAAACAAGCCGTCCTTGTATCTATCTACCCTCCTACCTGAGGAACAGCCACCCAAATGGCTAGTGAGCACTCAGAATAGTGCCAGGCCTGGAACATGGATGCAGGCACAGATTGAGAGCCCTTTACAGAGCAGATAACTTGCTCAGAAAAACACAGTGAGCCGGGTGTTGGGCACACGCCTTCAGTCCCAGAACTCAGGAGGCAGAAGCAGGCGGATCTCTATGAGTTTGAGGTCAGCCTGGTCTACAAGGTGAATTTCAAGATAGCCAGAGCTACGTCAGACCCTGTCTCAACAAACAAACAAACAAACAAACAAAAACAAAAGGACCCCCTTTGAGAGAGAGAGAGAGAGAGAGAGAGAGAGAGAGAGAGAGAGAGAGAGAACCAGAATGAGTAAGAGTATAGACATGGTGGTACCGGCCTGTAATCTCATACACTCCAAAGGCTAAGGCAGGATTGCAAGCCCAAGGCTTTTGTGGGCTATGGAGTGAGTTTAAAGCCCACACGGGCAGCTTAGGGTCAAAGACAGTCCAAGGAAAGAGAGATGATGATGGGTGGGAAAAGGGCATTTCTAGGGGAGCTATTGAAGCCAGCTGCTACCATTTCCTGAGCCCTTCCTCTGAGCCAGAGCCAAGTGGTTGGCATGCAGTCAGCAAACAAACCTCCTCCCAACAGCTCTGGGAGAAGGCTCTGAGCCCCTGAGGTGGACGATAAGGGTGTGGAGGCCCAGGCAGGGGAAATCACTTCACACTTACCTTTCACAATGAGCATGAACTTCAGGGTCTCTGGATAATTCTCTTCAAGGAGGCCAAAGAACTGTGGAACCAAGAAAGCCCCCCTCAGAGCCTAAACTTTCTCCCCTTCCCCTCTTTTGCCATCTCCGGCCTGGAGGTTTTAAGAGAGAAGTTTTCCTTTTTAGTATAACCTCAGACTGTTAGAACCAATGCTCATAGTAACTACATAAGCAGATGGTAAATCGTGTGACTACGCGTGTGTCAGATGTTCAGTGTGTGCCCAGCACTGTGCTCAGGGTTCAGACTCACCGAGCTTCCCAGTCTCACTGTCCTGCTCTGGAGGTGAGGAACTTGAAGCATGCTGGGGGTGCAGGGCAGACACGGGTGGGCGCCCAGGGAGGGTAGGGTGGACGCCCAGGGAGGATAGGGTGGGGGTGGGGGTGGATGACTTGTCCAGGGCTCAGAGCAAGGGACTGACAGGGCTGGGACTGTGGAAACAGGCCCTGTGCTCTCTTGAGGTCTGCTATGTGAGCTTCTAGCAGTCCTATTAAGGTTTCATTCAGGGGGGTGGGCCAGGAAGGAAACCACCTTTTATTAATTTGTGTTCTTAGTGAACCAAGCTTGTCCCCCAAGAGTGAGGGCGTGTGTGTGTGTGTGTGTGTGTGTGTGTGTGTGTGTGTGTGTGTGTGTCCGTCCACCCCGGGCCTCCTCACCTCCTGGTACACTTCCACCAGAGGTTTCCAGAAGTGCTTCAGTCCCAGACCCTCGCAGTCAAATATCATCACGATGGTTTCAATCTTCCTCCCCAGCTGTGAGGGTTAGGAAGGGGCAGCGCCAGAGTGTGGTGACCCCTCAGGATGCTTCCAAACCTCCACTCTGATCTCAGAGTAGCAAGTGGCCAAGGATGAACACATCTCCCCACGCATCTGCCCACCCACCTCCCCACCCCCCACCTCTGACCACGGCAGTAGAGAGAACGCTGGTGTGTTCTTGGGACCATGGTTCTCTGGCAGCCTCTCCTGCCTCCTCACTCACCCCTACCAGTCAGAACCTCACCCGCTCTGTCTGCAGGTCACACTCGTGCAGAATGCGCTCACAGTCCCTCATCTTGGTCTTCAACAGGTCCTGCTTGGTAACTGAGAAAAGCAACCCTTTGGGGTCCAGTGGCCCGATGATATCATACCATACAGGGCAGCCATCCCGGTCATAGCCACACAGACCTCCAGGCATGTACTTCTGGATCACCTGGGCATAGAAAGATACATGACATTCCACATCACATACCTCTCTGGGGCGCCCCCAGATCTGACTAACCCATCAGACCCAAGGCTATATATACCCTGCCACCATCTACCCTGTCCCAATGAGAAAACTGAGGGTCTTGCAAGGGAGGGCCTTGTCCACAGCTGTAAACGCAAAAGCCCGTTACCAGCCCAGCCTGGCTTCAGGCTTCTGGGCTCACTGTACTGCCTGAAGTGTCTTCTGTGTCTTGTCTAGTGGTACTGAGGCAGTTCTGAAGGTCAGCAGATCTGGTTCAATTATAGACACTGCTGTTCCCCTGCTCTGTGTCCTTGAGCAAGGGATGCCGCCTCTCTGAGCTCCATCCCACCTCCTCTTGTGTAAGATGATTTAGATTCCCTCCCTCTGATAAATCCTGGCAAGCACCGCATACTGTCCACAGCTGTGACCCCAGTGTGGGTACCACCCTTACTTACCAGTCCCTTGACAGGCTGTTGTTTTCCCACCTGGAGAGGATGCTTTGAAGTTCTGGGGTGAGGCCACAAAGGGACTGACTGGCCACAGTGACTCAGATACAAGGTTGGGAGTCCAGACAGGACTAAGTTCAAACCCCAGCCTCACCATAGGACTGTGGGACTTTGGGCAAGTTGCTGGACTTACGCTGGACGAAAGTGATGATAACACCTGCCTCGCAGTGTTCAGGTGATTAAATGAACTCATAGCTGGACTTTTTACCTCTCCTGCCTCTGCCTCCCAAGTGCTGGGATTAAAGGTGTCTGCCACCATGCCCGGACAATGCTGGAACTCTTGAAGCAGGGATCATTTGTTACTCTTACGGAAAAGACCCTGTGGGGCTAATGGCTTCCAAGGGCTTCTCTGCTCACTGTTCTTCCCTCATGGACTCCAGTGACCAGAGGCTGCTTGGGTGACATGCCTACTGAGACGGAGGTGTTTGTGGGTGGGGGCTCACCTCTGGGGGCTGCCAGTCAAGGATGTGATCAATGTCCATGGTCTTCCGGAACTCCATGTACTGAAAATGTAAGGGTGGTTAGACCCTGTGGGGCTCCCAGAACCCTGAAAGCGGCGAGGAAGTAGAGGTATAAGGCAATGATTGTCGCCCCCCTCCCCACCCCAGCGAATACTGTCTCCAAATCCTCAGGGTGGATCTTTACCTTGCGGAGCATGGCCTCAGATTTCTGAAGGTCAAAGTTCCGAGCTGAGGGAAGATGGGGGGGGTGAAGATGGGACAGGGCTGTCTTGCCACACCCTAACTAGTGAGAGTAATGTGTGTGGGGGTGTGTGGGTGTGGGTGTGTGGGTGTCTCGGGAGTTTGAAGAGAACTCTGCCTTTTTCTCTCCTCCCTAGACCTGAGCATGTGAAACAAGATGGCATGGCCAGATTCTGAGAGCCATGGATTGTTGTGGAGCTGCGGCTCCAGGTCCTCTTGCTGTCCCCTCATCTCCAACATCCCCATCTCTCCCCTCACCTCGGAGCCAACGAAGAAGGAAATAATCATCGGGGTTTGGCAGGGCGGGCAACACGTCCTGGACATTTTCTCGGAACTAGAAAGAAAAATGCCTGTTGACATGTCTCTCACACCGAGCCTTGGCCTCTCAGCTCCTAGATTCAGCGATCCCCTCCCTCCCTCCCTCCCTCCCTCCCTCCCTCCCTCTGACAGTGGCATTGGGGGGGAGTGGAAGGATGGGGAGTGTGTGAACAAAGGCAGGATGCGAGGATGGATGAATGGGCAGGCGGAGAGAAAAAGTGAAGGATCAACTGATCAAGGATGGATGGACAGGTGGATCTTAAATAGGTAGGCAAGTGGAGAGGAGAGATGGGTGGGCGAATGGAAGGAGGAGTAGACTCGTGGGTGGATGAGTAGAGAGGACTGGGGGTGTTTTTCTGGCTCCCTTTATGTGTTCACTTATCTTTACATCTTACAAAAACGTGGGTCTGAAGGGAAGGAAGGAAGGAGGGAAGGAAGGAGGGAAGGAAGGAAGGAGGGAAGGAAGGAAGGAGGGAGGAAGGAAGGAGGGGGGAGGGGGAAGGAAGGAAGGAAGGAAGGAAGGAAGGAGGGAAAAGGCTCATGATCAAGGGCCCTCTTCCCTTCAGCTGTGGGCACACTGACATTCTACCCTGTCTCTCTGGTCTGGATCCTACAGACTGGCTTTCCTTTCAGTCTCAGGCAAGAAGAATCCATCAGAGGACAGACAGCTCCCACCCAGGGGGCAGGGAGGGAGGAGGGGGGGCAACTGCCAGGTAGAGCTCTCTGGGTCTGGCTCCTGGGTAAGTTCAAGTCTACTTCTGCACATGTCACCCACATGTACCACCTGTTCTGTCCAGTACTGATGTCCCTGAGCTGTGCAGGATGTGGCCCCTTTGGAGGTGATAGCGAGGAGACAAGGTCAAGGGCATTGCTAGTCAACAGGTGGACACGGGGTCCCGGCGATCCTTCCCACCCCCCCTCAGTCGTCCCCACCCAGGTCCTACAGGAGGGCATCTCTTACCTTGGCCAGGGTCTCTGCCTGTTTGGGGCTCAGATCTCCGACTCGGCCACTCATGGTGATGGCCGAGACTGAAGAACAGTGACCACTGCAGGCAGAGGCCCAGCCTCCTCTGTCTGCCCAGATCCAGCTGGAGTCTTTTGCCCCCACTTCTGGGTGTGGCTCAGGCGCCTCCTCCAGGCCAGTTCTTTAGATTGACCGTTACATAACTGGGATTAAGTGAGGTCCCGTGCTTGGCTCTGGGACAGGTCTGGAGGAAACGGCAGGCTCGGAGGGTGTGCCAGAGGGCCTCTGCTTGACAGACAACTGTAATGGAGGGAGATTGGCCTTCTTCCCCTGCAAGACCCTCTCAGTGATCTCTGGTCTCCAATGCCCACTGTCCCACAGAAGGGGGAGTTCCATGGAGGATAAGCCCCACATCTCAGAGGTGCCTTCCCCTAAGCCACAGTCTCCTCATGCTCCTGATGAAGGAGCCCCCCATACCCCCCCATAACCCCCGCCAAAGCCTTCACTCGCTCTTGCAGGACGGGAATTGGGCCCTGCAGTCTACTGAGCAGCCATGCGCTAAGTTCAGAGTTGGGAGAAGCTCACACCCTTCAGCTGCAGCGAACACCCAGTCAAGAGGCAGACAGGCTCTGGGATGGGGTGCAGTTCTGGGTAGTGCTTGCCTAGTGTACCTGCAGCCCTGGGTTCAATTCCCGGTACTGAAAAAGGGAGAAAAGAAGACAAGCTGTCTGGGACTGAAGCTGGCACTCAAAGCTTTGTCCATGGTGAAGGCTGGTCTTTTCCACCGGGCCGAGGCTACCTTTCCTGGTGTCTTTCAAATTCCATTGCAAGGAACTGATTCTGTAGGTTTGAACATAGGGAAAGGCCAGACACCTTCCCCCGATGTCTGGCGCCTCCAGTCATGCACAGCTCCCATTAGCACTGAGGAGCAGGAGGAGCGGGCGCATGGTCTTGGGGACACGGATGTCTTTTGGGGATTTTCATATATGGCCAGCAAGAGGCATCCACCTCGGGGTGAGGAGGCCGTTGGGTCACCCACAGCAGGTGCTTAGAGAAGCCCAGCAGGTTCCTACATCATTTTCTCTCTGTCACATTCTACCTCCAGAGGGGCCTGAGGCCTATCCCTGCTCTGGGTTTCCTTTTAACCCTTCCAGCCCAGTGTTTCCTGTGGCCGCTCATTTCTAATGGGGGGCTGCCAGTCTGCCCCTCACATGGATGAGAAGGCTGACTGCCTAGGTGTGTGCTGCTAGGGGATTGTTTCCGTCCTCTTCTCTGGAGCCCTGAGAAGGGGAAGCCCATCCTGTCAATTATTGTCTCAATGAAAACCTTCAACCCTGCATGTGTCTATCATCTCAGCACTCAGGAGGCAGAGGGATGGGGGGTGGGTTAGTGAGTTCAAGGACAGCATGGGCTACACAGCAAGACCCCATCTCAGAAGAAACCAACCGACAAGCAAGAAAAGCTGTCTCAAGAGAAATTACACAGGCAGAAATTATCCTGGGCTAGACTTGGTTAACAAAGCTAGGCTAGTCCAAGCCTAGAGCACCCTAGATGTACAATTTTGGGGCAATCCTGGGCCTCTTTCCTGAGCTATCTCAGGGTTCTTTAAGGAGGTGGATGGGGCAATCTGGACACTGCCTGCTGGCCCCTTGCCCGACTTGTGCCCTGATGCAGTTGGGTCCACAGGAGAAAGGGCTACCTTTGTCCGTTTCCCTCTGTCTGGGGCACCTGGTATGTCTCTCTGGAACAGTTAGGTAACTCTCCACACCCAACCCCACCCCAGTTCACATTCCACCCACCCACTTCCCCCAGGCTGGCGACCTGTGGAGATTGGGTTCCACAGCCACTCTGCCATTAGCTCCTAATCCCATCTGTTTCTCACCAGTCTCTGTTTCCTCCCTAATCCCTCTAATGGGAGGTGTCCCATGCTCCAGAGGCTGGGAAGGAAGGCGAGGGAGAAAGGTGAGGGTCCTTCCAGAAACTGTGGTCCTTCATAGGAACTCCGAACCCTTCTGACTGGACCACAAATGTGCCAAGCAGTTTACTAGGCACGAGCCGTCAACAGAACTTCCTGTGATGAAGGACGGACGTGGCCTGTGTCTACTCTGCCCTAGTTATCATGTTTAGTCTTCATTACTCCTGCATGAAATAACGATGTAACTGAAGTCCAGATTTTGTTGTTGTGAGACTGTGTTTCCCTGTGTGACCTAGACTGGCCTCAAACTCAAGAACCTTCTGATTTATCTCCCAAGTAATGGGATCACAGGTGTGCACTGTGACATTCAGCTTATAAAATCGTAGTCAGGGAAGATGCCGAATGCTTGCTGATCACCAGTGTGTGCACCATAGCTGGTAGACCTGTGATTTTAGTTGATTTCTCCCCCAACCCCCTTCCTTTCTCTGGTATTGGAGAGTGAGCCCAGGCCTTAGACTAGGTTATGCAGGTATCTTAACCACTGAACTACATTACTCTTAGCCTTCTTTTGACTTTTTATTTTGAGACAGGGTCCCACTAAATTGATCAGGATGGCCTTGTATTCACTCTGTAGTCCAGACAAGCCTTGAACTTGTGATCTTTCTGTACCACTGGGCCTAGCATTTAATTCCCCCATGTGGCTTATAGCTAGAATGGCCACTTTTAGTGAAGTCATATCCCATGCCAAGTTGAATTCTGAGCACAGTATCTGTACTAGACTTAGGAAACTCCCTGGTGGGGGTAGGTACCATTGATCTTAGCATGTTCTACAGATAAGCAAATCAAAGCAGGGCAGGGAGAAGTTAAATAATTCATCCAAGGATTGACAGTTCCACAGCCCAGCTCCAGGAGCTTCACACTGGTAAAGGGTGTAGAAGGCAAAGGGGTTGAGGGTACAGGAGACACAGCCCACAGTATCAACTAAGCAGAGGGCTCCGGGGGCTCACAGAGACTGAAGAGGAGATCATGGCGCCTGCGTGGATCTGTGCTAGGTCCTCTGCATATACACGCTGTGCTTGTTTACCTAGGGAATTTTGTGAGTGAGTGGCATGACTCTGACTCCTGTGCATGTTCTTGGAGCCCCTTTCCTCCTCTGGGCTGCCTCATCAGCCTTGATAAGAAGGTCTGTGCCTGGTCTTATTGCATCTTGTCATGCCATGTTCGGTGGACGTCTCTGGGAGAGCTGCTATTTTCTGAAGGGAAATAGAGGAGAAGTAGATCTGGGGGGGGGGTTGGGGAGGGACTGGGAGGAGGGGAGGAGGGGAGGCTGTGGTCAGGATGTAATGTATGAGAGAAGGATAAATAAAAAGAAAGAAAGGAAAGGGAGCTGCTCATCTCCTAGTGGTCAGAAAGTTGAAAGATGGAAGGGGATTATGGGGACAAGAAATACTCTTCAAAGGCATCTCCTCCATGAACACACCTCCTCTGAGTAGGCCTCGCCCACTAGCCCATAATAAAGTTAATACCTAGATGTTCCAACCATCTATCAATTGCATCAGCTGGGGCCAAGGCCTTCCACACATTAGCCTTTGGAGGGGGACTGCATATCTAAATATTAAAGAGAATGAGCTGTTCTTGGGATTCTGCAGAGAGCATTGGGCTTCCCATTTGCTGATCACTTCCTCTGAGTTGGGAGCTTCATATTCTCATTCGTCTTCATGGAAGCGGCCATAGGTGGCCCTCTTTCCCAGCCAAAGCAATGGTATGCACAGAGGTCAAGGGGCCTCAGCTTGTCTGATTCTGCTACCTATTGGAACTGGAGCAAGCCTCAACCCTGTCCCCTATCTTCCACTCTACCCCAAGCCTTAACACTGGGCCTGGGGATATCTCCAGAGCACAGTAAACAGCTGGAAACTACACCTCACCTCCACACACACTCTGGGCGGCAGAGTTTAACGTTCAGTTTAACGTTCCCTTCCTTTGAAACAAAGGACCCAGAAAAGGAGACCATTGTACACACCTAGAACTATTCTCCCCAGGTCAACACCCCCAGGCTGTGTTGAACAACTTCTTTGCCAAGGATTCAGGGGACCAAGGTGACAACCACAACACACACAAGTCAACACAGGTTGGGGAGTTGACAGAACTGACTCACCTCACCCAAGAACCTTCCTAGGTTTCTAGGCAATGGGAAGGGGCTGCTCCCCACCAATGCTAGTGTCCACACATTCCTGCCCACCTTCCCTAAGTACATCTTGCTGGAACCAGCTAAAAGAGCCTTCAGGGAGTGCAGAGGCCATGTGAGCAAACATTGCTAGGATGAACCAGGCAGGAGAGTGCAGGGTGTGTGGGTGGGGGTGGGGAGAGTAGGGGGTGTAGGGTGCACATGCAGCCAGTAGTGTTCTGCCACACCCTCTGGCAGTTCATGCCAGGCTTTATTACCTTGAACAGATTTGTTTATAATTTTTCTTTCCAATGCTAGGGATCAAACCCAGGGACTAGTGCATGCTAGTGTGAGCTTTTGTCAAGGAAAATGGAAGAAAATGTTAATGTAATATGATACACACACACAACAGAAATGTTTTATTCTTCATACACAGCTCAGTGGTTTTTAGCACACTCACTGGGTTGTGTGCGAATGTCTAACCTAACTTTAACAAAGGTGCGGAGGTTGCTTTGGCTAAGAAGCATGAAGGATAAACCTGTAGCATCTCTTCCTTCTTTTTGTGTCTGTCTTCTTTCCTGCCTTAAATGTTGGGTCAGATTCTGGCTCATCTCTCTCCACAGTTATGCTTGCTTAAGGTATCTATCTAGGGGCAGGAGAGAAGGCTCTGTCAGGGGACCTAACTATGGTTCCCAGCATCCATTCTGGGCAGCTCACAAGAGCCCATAACTCCAGCTCCAGGGGAATCTGACCTTTCTGGTCTCCAAGGACACCTGAACTCATATGCACATATACTCACACAGACACACAAATGTGTACACATAAAGTATAAATCTTGGAGAGTCTGTCTAAAAACTGATAACACAAAGTTAATTTGTTCTGCCCCCTCACCCAAGTGTTAGTAGCTGAGTTAGAAACTGAAGCTGCCCCATCAAAGAACAATCCTATCCAGGGAAACAAACTGTCTCTTTTAGCAATGAGTGTTTAAAGCCAGAAGACCCTTGCAGGACTTAAACCGAAGCAATGACCAAACAGACCAGATTTCACATAGCCC